ACGATTGTCGTGCTCACGCATCTTGACATGGTCCGAAGTACGGATATTCGAAAGAGCCGTGATGTACAGCCGCCGCTTCTCCAGCTTGAGAAATCACAGCAGCAGTGGGTTGTACACGTCTTGCGAATGCTTCTGAAATAGAAGACGCAGCAGCTTGTACTTGCCCAACTGACAGGCAGAAGAACGCGGGAACAGCCAATAATGACCTGGAGCAAAAGTCTCGAAGGACTCTGTTCCAGATTCAGGTTTTCTTCTGCCGTAGCTGAAATGTAGGTACAGGATCGGGAACGTGGGAGTAACAGCCTGAAGCGCTTGTCTCCGCATTCCGAAATAGTAGGGGGATCATCGAAAATAGCTAACTGAATAACTTGACTAAATGCCGTGCAATGTTATATGCGAGTACGTTGCTAGCGATTGCGTAAGACTTGTCATTCGGAAGCCCTCCGGGTTTGGAAATTGATGCGTTGTAGTGACAAACTTGGTTAAAAATATTGTGATCAGAATTAAGTGGTTTCGTTGCAGTGGCATGGAGATTAGCGTCAGATCATAAGCTGCGTAAAAAGCTAGAACTAGAGCAAGCACTCATCAAAGAAGTTTAAGGTTGGCCTTACACTGTCCATAAATACCATCGTTACTCGTCTTCTCGCGATCTGACATTCAATATCTGTCTTCACTCGCATACTTTGTTATAAAACTTTTCTTCTAAAAATCTTGCCGTACCCAATGAAATTGCCTTTGTCTATTAAAGTACGCTAGAATCCTATAGGTTGCATTTACATTAGTTAGACTGATTTGCATGAACTTTCCTAAGTCTTAAATGGTTTTGCGTTTAAACATAGAGAGCACGTTCAGTATAGTCGTTATAAGTCCAGATTCGGAGTTTCAGCACTTACATGAAACTTTTTGCAAATCTTATTATTGATGGGTAGTAGCTGAAGTTCAGCTGGTTGGTCTTAGGTTCAGCCCGTCAGCCGTTACGTCTGTAACCTGTAACGTAAATGGGTAACGTGGTTCTTTAATACGAGCGCGCCGGTGACGGTTTTTGTTTTAGAAGACGTTCGGTTTCGTTGCGGAGCCCAGCAAAATCAACAACCAAGAACCGCCTAAGTAAGCGGTCCGGAAAGTCTTCAGACGTAGAAGAAAAGAGGTCGTAGAGAGATGAAAATTTAAATAAAATGTATTCCGTCTGGTTGTAGGAGCAAAACAAAGGGCGAA